TCTTCTTGGGTAGCATTGGGTTTGACCCCCAAAACATCGTAATAAGTCGTTTCCTTCACCATTTTCTACAGGCAGTGAGCGGGCTAGGCCGTGGTTGGGTAGACAGGAAGGAGCAGGTAGCCGTGTGCAGGTCGAGCAGCTGCCACTCCTCCACCTCTCAGCACGTTCTGGAAAGTTCCCAGCAAACATACTTTTGAAACTAAAAGTAAAATATTTTCCAGTTATACAAACTTGAAGTATTCTAATACCTCCAGAAGTAGCATATAGCAAATATCAAAGAGCATAATTCAGAAGGCAAGAAAAGTTGCTGCATGCTCCTGGATGAAGAATAAGGAGCTCTCAAAATGATAGTTATGCAAGACTATGCAAACTACATTAGATGAACCCATTTAAAAGATCATTAAAGATTTCTATGAAACAGTATCAATCTTATGTCGGGTTATATACATATTTTTTCATATATGTGTGTGTATGTATAAAAGATAGGGAAGAAGTAATATAAAGTCAATGGAAAATGGAAATATACTTTCTAAAGTTTCTAATACTAGGAGAAAATATCATACCATGCCTTTTAAATAGATTATAAGTCAAATATACAGTATAAATCTTAAAACAAAAATTAAGATTAAGCAATATTCAGAAAATTAAATACTAATTAATTAAAAATTAAATGTTTCAAAACAATTGAACTAAGAAAAGTTTTCATTCTAGTAAAGAATTACTAGGAATAAAATATAAGATAAATATCGGAGTGACAAATATAATGATCAACACTTATAACAGTTGGGGGATAGGATATTGCAAAAAGTTCTAGTGTGTTGTGGATGTGGATAATGTCCCTAACACTTACTGGTGGCCAGGTGTCACTTGTGGGACTGAGCTACTGCTATTTCCTTGATATCCACCCTGTGGACCCAGACAGAATCATGCTCCATAGGGTGCAGGAGAAGTCCATTTATAGAGTACGCTGATGGAAATATTCTGCTGCTGTATACAAAAGAATAACTGAAGGACTGCTTTTGTATACGTCTTATTCTCCTGTGTTTAATTGTTTGCCATATTTGGTGGGTTCTTTCCATTCTCATTCATGGAGTTGTGGTCATTTTGATCCCTCTCTAGAATATCTTTTAGTAGTCTGTGTAGATTTGGCTTTGTCATCATGAAATTCTTAAGTTGTTTTTTGTCATGGAAGTATTTCACTTCTCCATTATACTTGAAAGAAAGTTTTGCAGGATATATCAGTCTGGGTTGGAATTTGTTTTCTTGCAAGACTTGTAGTACTTTGCTCCATGCTCTTCTTGACTTGATGGTTCATGAAGAGAAATCTTCCATTATTCTGATGGGTTTTCCTTTAAATATGATCTGCTTCTTTTCTATACTGGCTTTCAGTATACTGTTCCTGTGCTAGATTTCAGGGATCTCGATTATTATATATGTGTGTGGTTTTAATTGGGTTGATGCTATTTGGAGTTCTATATGCTTCGGTTAGCTGAATGTCAGATTGTTTCCCCATATTTGGGAAATTTTCTGTTATGACTTCTGCCCATATTCTTTTTATATCATTTGTATTGACTCCTTCCTTCTCATTGATGCCGATTAGTCTCACATTGTTCATCTTTGCATCATCTTGCAGGTATTGAATTACTTTTTCCTGCATCCTACTTGTTTTTAAGAAATCTTTTCTTACTTTTTCACTAGGTGCAATGGTGTCTTCAAGGTCTGAAAGTCTATTCTCACATTCATTCAAATGGTTTTGCCAGTTTGTGACTGAGGTTTGAAATTCCTATATATCACTTTGGATCTGCTTCATGCATTCTATTTCTTTCCTACATTGCTTATTAAGGGATTCCATAATTTTTATACTCTACTATATTTTATCAGTGTTTTTTTAGAAGCACGTAGTACTTTAATTACAGTTATCATTTCTTAACTAGGGAAATTATTTCTCATCTGATTTTCTCTATACCTTTCTGCAGTTGTTTCTTTACTTCCAACGCTATTATTGCAGATATTTCAGGTTGGTGATTTCCAATTTCTTCTATGCTAGTGCCTTCTACGTTTGTTCTGGGTGGGCTCGAGGCCAAAGACTGCATTTTGTTCCTTCTCTTTGTCATTCTCTACAGCACTGTCTTCTGCCCTTTGGTGTAGAGCTTAGACAGAGTTATTACCTTAGCACCAGGTCTGGATCTACCAACTTCAAACTCATCCAAGTGGGTGTGGTTTATATCTGGTTGCTGTGCTCCACTTCTTCCTGCTGCAGCCCTTGGAGTTGAACCCTCTGTGCCACTCTGGCAAGATGCTCTGCTCCTGAATCAGCTGGGTGGTCTTGCGTCTAGCCTCTTTGCAGGGAGTTCTGCTGCAGGTTACATGCTAAGCCTGGGCTCTGGGTCGAATGAGAATTCTGCGGGCCCTGGGTCCTCTAACTCACACTCTGGGCCTGGGCTTTGGGTCGAATCAGGATCTGGTGGGCACCAGGTCATCTCCAAAAGTGGAATAATCTTTATCATATGATTGTGTGTGTAAATACATTTAAAAGATTAAAAAGACACAGGAATGTGTAATAGGAGTTACCTTTGGGGTACACAAAAGCCTTTCTCCTTCATATATATATATA